ACAGGTTCTTGAGACAGTTATTTTGTTTGTTTTAATTGTATTTTTTGCAAAGTAGTTTCAAAGCGTGTGTAAGGTCAAGGGTAAAGGTAATGTCAAGGTTGGATGAGTATTTTTCGCACAAGACCCGAGCCTCCAATTTATGATAGACTTATAAATGTTGTCGTAGCACAGATGCATCATGGATCAGGACATAGTGCCGAAGAGAATATTATCGCTGGTATATTGACTCCAAGTTCAAGAATCAAATATTGTTAGAACACGCAAGTTTTGGTAATTTGCCCTTGAATTGTGTTTGGGTTAACGACATAAAGATGCAGCCCAGTTGAATCTGTTTCGGTGGACAATCAAGACTGGTTACTCTCTGTCCTTGTATGTTTAATATTTTCCACAAATGAGTGAATGATTTAGGAGGGTTTTAAGCTGCTTTTAACAATATTCCAGCAGTATCATGACAGGAACACCAGAAATAGGCTTTACATATTGTACCAATTTGGGGAATCAAACCCAGGCATTCACCATGATGAGCGGATGCTTTAAATACTGGGCTAGCCCACTGCCACTATTTTCCACTTGCCAGATGTACCACTTTTAGTATATACATGTAATTACTTTTCATGATAAATATGTACAGGGACATTTTTCTAGTGATCTAGTCTGTTTATCCAAGCCAGTGTTCAGCTTCATGTTGACACGAGACCAGGGCACAAACTGAAGGACTGTTTTACTATTAGGGCTTCAACGAATCCACTGTTAGGCAAATATACATATCACGATAATTGGACACAAATACAAATATTCTGCAATGAATAGGATAACAAGTGAGCACATTATTCATTATATTCAAACATTAACAAAATATAATCTTGACATGTTTTGACCGTGTTAGTGTCAGTTTATCAAGACAGTGACCCCATAATTGTCAAATTCATCATTTAATGGTGTTGACTAATATCCTGCTGGACTTGGATTAATTCTTCTTGCATATCTTGCCTAGATAAATAACACCCAAATTCAAGTGAAAACACTCCATTTTAGGAAAACCATGAATATTCGATTCTGGTGGATGCAAATAATGAACTGAATTCATAAAGAAATTCGGTTTAATTCACGAATACGGAAGTGACAGCCCCAGTGTTTATCTACTGATACTCTGTTTGATAGTAACCATGACGTTTGGGTAATTGTATCCCAATCAACATTGATTTTGGGAGGCTGTATAATACGTTCACAACTTATTTCCTGGCTGACAGTCAGGCCAAGTACACATGCGACATCTGTAAACATCTCCAAGCAAATTGCTCATTTTATTTCAAGTTTTCAATTGAGGAAAACACCATGAATTATGCTTTTTCAGTTTTCTGAAAATGCCAACACTCTTCAGTGGGAATATCTTGATCCATCAATTTTCTTTTTGCTCTGACTGTCATTCTGGAGTCTCTTGATCAATGGGTTTGTCACACTGGCTTCCATGGAATGAAATTAGGCGTCATAGTCAACAGTCCTTCTCATAACAGTTTTATTATAATTAGATTAATGGCTGTTTCTAGATTCAAATACTTCAGAAGCAAACCTGAAAAAGACAGAGTCCTCCAGTTTCTAAGTGCAACAAACCCAGCTCTGATTCACTTGTGTAAAAATGTTGAGAGTAAAAAAGTAGATTCTGCCCAAAACTTCCCAGTTGCTTGACATTGTTCTCAGCTGATCTTAATGTATGGACTTAGTCAACAAAATTATTGGACAGAAAGATATTTTGTTTGTTTATTTGATCACCTCCACACTCAGCAATATTCCAGCAATATAGCTGAAAATAATTGAGTGTGGACCAGAAAATCCAGTGATTGACATAATGAGCATGGATCTGAAATATACACAGAATGGGGATGCCGGATTTGTCAGAGGGTGACATGCATGAGGCAGGAGTACACAATGGATGTGACCACCTGATCCTGATACTCGCCTCTTACGACATGCATGGGCTGCTCTAACCTGGATCTCACGGGTTGGTCTGAAAGAAATTTGACTAGGCTCTTGCAATGGTCAATTGACAAAATTCATAGATGGAGAAAGTGAAACTGATAGTGACATGGTGCAGCTTGACAGCCATTTCCTGGTGACAATACTTGAAGCAGGGGATATGGCTGCACATGCTTGAAATCTGGATGCTGTTTGGCAGAACAGTTTCTTCTAAGAATGTGACATTGCTATATCATCATCATCCTTCAGAGGGGCACAGGTGGCCCAGTTGTCAAAGGGGATGAAAATGTGCTTTCCAGAGTTGCATCTCTTGGCACACCAGGAACTTCTGATTGTAGGTTTAACCTAGTTAATCCCAGAATTCAAGGGTCGGTCAGGTAATCGGAACCACAACATTTTTTTTTAGGCCTTACAGATTAATGTTCTAAAAGTACTCATGAAGACTAAGATAATTTGTTGTTCACAATTATTGCTTAAGAAGAAAACCACTTATTCCCATCTGCATTTGTTTACAAACTGTTTCATCAATGAACAACCCTTGTGCTGCAGTACTTAAAGCTTCCAACTACATGACCAGGAATTTCCAAGAGCTAGTCATCATTCAGTACCGATAAATAATTGATTATCGTTCACACCTTGAGGGGTTGATTCCCTCCACAAGTATCGACTACAGCTAAGTATCTCTATAGATAGGCCTGTAAATGTACTGATTCACGTAGCTATCAAGAGACCTGTTACTTTATTAGTGCTGGCAATCTGGAGGGTTTCAATAATCTATCTTTGGGGTCATTATCATGGTTAGAATTGATTTTCAATACTGTATCACCATGGTTACATAACCAGTACTGATGGTGTGACACTGTCCCTGTATGTAGTACAGTACTGTATCACCATGGTTACATAACCAGTTCTGATGGTGTGACACTGTCCCTGTATGTAGTACAGTACTGTATCACCATGGTTACATAACCAGTTCTGATGGTGTGACACTGTCACATGGTGATGAGTGGTGTGTTACATTACGTGAATACCAATGGGACTCCACCCATGTATGTCATGTAATACTGTATTGCATCATTGTAACATCACCAGTACTGATGGTGATGACTGGGGTGTTACGTTACTTGGGTGTTACAATACCAATGGGGCACCACCCATGTATGTCATGTAATACTGTATCGTTTCATTGTAACATCACCAGTACTGATGGTGATGACTGGTGTGTTACGTTACTTGAATACCAATGGGGCACAAACCATGTATGTCATGTAATACTGTATCGCTTCATTGTAACATCACCAATACTGAGATACTGTCCCTGTATGTAATATAATACTGTATGACCATGGAGGTTAGAATTGATCTTCAGCAACCCATGCCTGTTGTAAGAGGCAACTAACAGGATTGGGTTGTCAGACTCGCTGACTTGGTTGACACATGTCATTGTATCCCAATTATACTCGATCGATGCTCTTATATGTGATCACTGGTATGTCTGGTCCAGTCTTGATTATTTACAGACCGCCGAAATACAGCTGGAATATTACTGAGTGTGTCGTTTAAAACAACAAACCAATACATTGCCAATAGGGTACCATCCATGTATGTATTATAATATTGAAACACCAGGTTGTTTTATGGCAAGCACTGATAGTGTGATTTGAAATCGCTGATAGTCCTAGAATAATTGCTTTAATTTGTCTGTGGACAGAATTTGAACTTGGAATGAATTAGAGAGATCAGTGTCCTTATTGTTTTCATCTAATGATGTGGATGTTTGAAGTGTTAGGCTAACATGCTGGCTATAGTGTGTGGCATTTCTGTCTAAATGGTTGCCATGGATATCGGTGACTGATAGAGGTGAAACTGGAGTACCGAGTAAGAATAGTCTGTTATGACATTTGGACCTTGTGGCATAACAAGAAAAGCTGGTCTAACGTAATAGTCACAGCTTGGTGTTGGGGGCTCACGTGGTATTAAGTGCAATGTGCATATCAAATAGTTCTGTTCGCAAGATGGTGGACTATACAAGACAAATGGTTATGTGTTTTGGCCACGGAATTCAATGTAGATCATTACCTGATATTAATGATAAACAATAAGTTTCAAATGTCAGATAAACAGGTTCAGACTTGGCGATAATTGTGTTTTCATTATGTTATGACGAGAAATATTTACAGCAAACCCTTCATGCATCGTTTTGTTGTTTGTTTGTTAATGATGCACTCAGTGAAACGGCAGCTATGTGTTGAAGGTATTTAAAATTTTGTAACAGACATGATTTTCTCCCAAGCTAATATTTTTGGGGTATTTTTTTATTTTCCACAATTTTGAAACAGAGCTGACACACAAACTTCTAAATTGTGAGGCTCAATTTATTCTCATAAAACAAATAAAACAAAAAGGAGAGAACTCCATGTTGTCCTGGAGACTGAGTCTGTGACATTTTTGTTAGAATTAAATTAGAGGTGTGAATTATTACCAATATACCAGCATGCTTCAATTTGAAATGCTATTATGGTAAGTGACTTTTGTACTGCAATGGTGATGCATGTATTGCTAACATACCATGAAGTATTGCATTTGGTCTTTCATCTGTAATTTGTAATCAACCTGAACTGAAAGTGTCCCATATATCAGAATTCCCTGCACATTTTAGACATTTCATTTGCCACTAAGTTTGATGTTCCTATGGTCACAATGCATGTGTAATAGACAAAATATATACAGGAAGATGGTCGCAGATAGGTTTTTGCATTTTTGTCACAGAAATCAAACTGCGAATTTATTGACTTCCATTTCAACTTGTCTCTATGACAGCATGAGAAAAATATGCATGATTTTGAAGAGCATGATGTCCAAGTATTTTCCATATTGTGTTCCTGCTTGGTGCAAAAGTCTCAGAGTAACATGTTACTTTCAGTGATTTCTTTCCTGTTTGAGATGAAATTTTGGTGATGTTGCAAGTCAATCAGTGATCATTTTGTTTATTATTTTATATTAATTATGAATATGATCTGTTTCAGAACTGCCAAACTGGGGTGTGGAAAGTCCAAGGTTGACTCGCCAGTCCATAGCAGTAGTAGTAGTGGTAGTAATAAAGGCAGCAGCAATATGGCGGGTCCAAACCTTACAGTGCCGCAGTTTCCTGCGGCAAATTCTCAACAACGAATATCACCGTCCCCGAGTGCAGGTCGCAACAAGGTGGCGCTGAAACCTGGCAGGTCACTCATGGACTGGATCCGATTGGGTCGAAGCGGCCAGGACTTGACCGGAGTTGGTGGAAAGGTCTTGGAGGTGTCTGTGGATGAACTGGCCAAGCACAGCAGGCCTGAGGACTCTTGGATCGCACTCAGAGGTAGTCGTGTTGATTCATTCAGGGAATAATGTATCATAGGGCACAGCCTGATTTACAAAATGAAGACGTTTTCATGAACATTGTCAGGCAGTCGCTACACTAAGCTTTCAAGTTTCATAAGTCTTCTGAGATTGTGAAATGTCTGATCTTCTCCATGGTCCAGAAGATTGGGCTTCTTCACAGAAGATGGAAGGTCAGGGTGTTGACATTGATGTGTCATTACTTTAAGAGGTTAAAAAGATGGTACTTCTTGTAACCCAACATGACGCTCAGCATTATGGGAATAAAATAAGGACTGATCGTTAGAGCTGTGATGATATATCGTAGTATCGATAATCGTGATACTTTATCTGACGATAAATATATTTTGATACTGTTTTTTCGTATAGTGATACGTATCGTTGACCTTAAGATTTTTAATTTTCACTAGAAATTGACGGTTATGTCGAAATTTACACTGTTACTTGCTATCAAAATTGCTTTTTTGAAAGAAAATAACTAAACATAGCATATCATGATATGCATCAAATCGTATCATTCCAAGATATTGTGATACAGTATCGTATTGTATCGTGAAATGTCTGTATCATCACACCTCTACTGATCGTTTTATTATTTTTGCCTGTTCAGGTTCAAGCTGGCTTTATAGAGCTAAACAACTGAGACACCTTTGTTCAGTGACACATGGATTCCCCACTCAGACATAGTGTACTGTCAACCAGTCCTTGTATTCAGTAATGGTAACAACAAGTACCATCTTTTAATGTTTCTTGGTATGACACACCTGGGAACTAAACTGACCCGTGAAGATCCGGGGTAGAATAGGTCTTCAGCAACCCATGTGCTTGCCATAAAAGGCGACTATGCTTGTCGTAAGAGGTGACTAACGGGATCGGGTGGTCAGTTTCGCTGACTTGGTTGACACATGTCATCGGTTCCCAATTGCGCAGATCGATGCTCATGCTGTTGATCACTGGTCCAGACTCGATTATTTACAGACCGCCTCCATATAGCTGGAATATTGCTGAGTGCAGCGTAAAACTAAACTCACTCACTCACTCACTCGGAACTGAACTACTGATCTTCCTCTCTCTGGGCAGATGGACTGTCCACTAGGCCACTAGGAGCTGCCTGCTTGTAGATAAGCTATGATGGACCGGGTCCCGATCCACAAAGCGTTTGTAGAGCCACAACATTCGTAAGCCTATGATGTTCGTAAGCCTATGAGTTATGAAGATCGTAAAATTTCAGACTCTTTCTGGATCGAGACAAGATGTTTATCATCGGGACACAGATTTGTATTATTAATCCATTACACCATTATTTACCTTGTTTAGTATGAACAATAATGTTTTCACTTGTGTCAGTTGACAGTAATAGATCAAATTTCCTTACAGTGTTTGGTAGGATCCACACTACCACACAACTCCTTGATTAGGCAGTGTGCAGCGAACAACTGATCGATAGCGATCTGTGCACAGAAGTATCGCCTGCTATATCTGTGACTGTTGATTGTCGTGTGGAGGATTTGGAGCTATTCATTCTCTCTGTTTACACAGAAAGCAAACTCGTGACTTGTGTTTAGGCACTTTGGTTGTTAGGCTGCCATCGGTACTTGTATGGTATACATTGGAGGATGCATACAAAACATTGGCTGTTTATACCGCTCAAAAAGTGATAGTAAGTTGTGTGAATATGAAATTAAAGAGTGCAGAGTGTATCCCCTTTGCCATGCCAGGATCCTGTGATTGTGGCTATATATATCCTACATTTACAACTGAATAGGATCTTTGACTGCATCACATTTCTAAAACTTTAAGAATGTATGATCTGAATCACTTTCAGTTGAAATGTTGGGATATGGATAACCTGAAATTCTTTTCTCACTCACTCACTCACTCACTCACTCACTCACTCACTCACTCACTCACTCACTCACTCACTCACTCACTCACTCACTCACTCACTCACTCACTCACTCACTCACTCACTCACTCACTCACTCACTCACTCACTCACTCACTCACTCACTCACTCACTCACTCACTCACTCACTCACTCACTCACTCACCCATCAAACCACCCAACCACCACCACTCACACTCCTCCTCACGCACACCAACACACCCACTCTTAAGCAAGTCCAAATCTTTCTTGCATGAACAGTGAAAGCAAGTATAAAAGACCAGGGTTCCTTGGCACAGATTTTATAAGTCACAGATTTAATGGGTATTTAGATTTAACTTCTTTGGGAGCAAAACTCCAGGAACCCGAAATCACTTTACTTTTGAAAACTGATGGACCTGAAATATGTCCTGTCAAGTTGATCTAATTTGCTGTCAAGTCATAAGACTTTCCTTTCTGGAGTGACATAAACTGAAACCTACACTGCACCCAGTATAACAGAAAACCATTTCCCGTTTCCTGATCCGAAATGTGTTCATGTTACATGTTTCTGACACAGGGCAGTTTTTATTGTACGGGGTTGATTGAGCGTTTCCAGGTTAACGACAGCATCAATATCTTGGCTTCACAAATATGGATGGCACTCATGGTTGCTCAAGCTTAATTTGTTTTCTAAGGTAATCAGATTCATAATAAAATGATCCTGTTAAATGAAGCAATCCCTTTTTCCGAAAACTATTGTCAAAATAATGCATCTACTTCAACCAATCAATACTGTATATGGAAAAGTGAACTTTGAGACTTGCGATTTTTTATTATGTTTCCTGTACAGAGAAACATTATGCTTACGTCACCTCATGTCATATGCAGCGCTAAATGTGATCCAATATTGTGTTTGAGACAACTCTGGGAGCGAATTGATTTATTTCTTTAGATTCTTGTTGGAATCTGCTATAAGATCAATTTGTGTTTGGAGCAAGTGGGCAGATTAAGCACATCACCCTGCTAACATGATAATGTACTTGCAGCCTAGGCTTCCGTCTCAATAGGTCACCGATTCCTAGAATGCTTCCATTGTCATCAACAATAATTATTTCTCAATTTCTTCCTGAGGTGATCAATATTTTCTATCCTGACTTTGAGTTAATTTATTGACATGGATTTCTAAACATATGAAGTACATTTAGTGGAGGAACATTAGCCGCTGTTGTAGATCTAACACATTTACTGCATAAACATGTCTCAGCAATTGTGACAGTGTTTGCAGCTGGTGGCCGTGTATGGTAAATGTCACCTGAGAGAGTTCCCTTTGTCTATCATTAATGAGATTTATGCAGTTAATCCTGTAGCTGCATCAAAAATAGGAAGCAAGTCTTCATTTACCGTCATGGTAAAGAGGTTGTCTTGAATTAATGAAAAATATCACAGCTATATCCTTGTCGCCATGGAGGGAAACTACTCGATGATGTCTATAACAGTGTCAGTTTCAATTAGCAATCTGTGACACGCCATGTAGGTCTTCTTTACTAAGTTACCTTGGCTATTGTTAGACTTGACTAAGGTGGGGATTTGTTTAGTGAGGATGGTACTCAGCACAAAATAGGTCCCAACAGGCTATGTCTGTTGTTAGCAGCAACCAGATGGATCGTGTTGTTATGTTCGTTGTTGGTGACCAGATGGATCATGTGGTTTGTTTGTTGTTAGAGGTGACCAGATGGATCATGTGGTTATGTTTGTTGTTGGAGGTGACCAGATGGATCATGTGGTTATGTTTGTTGTTGGAGGTGACCAGATGGATCATGTGGTTGTTTTTGTTGGAGGTGACCAGATGGATCATGTGGTTATGTTTTGTTGGAGGTGACCAGATGGATCATGTGGTTATGTTTGTTGTTGGAGGTGACCAGATGGATCATGATGGATCATATGTTTGTTGGAGGTGACCAGATGGATCATGTGGTTGTTTGTTGTTGGAGGTGACCAGATGGATCATGTGGTTATGTTTGTTTGTTGGAGGTGACCAGATGGATCATGTGGTTGTTTGTTGACCAGATTGTTGGAGGTGACCAGATGGATCATGTGGTTATGTTTGTTGTTGGAGGTGACCAGATGGATCATGTGGTTATGTTTGTTGGAGGTGACCAGATGGATCATGTGGTTGTTTGTTGTTGGAGGTGACCAGATGGATCATGTGGTTATGTTTGTTGTTGGAGGTGACCAGATGGATCATGTGGTTATGTTTGTTTGTTGGGGGGTGACCAGATGGATCATGTGGTTATGTTTGTTGTTGGAGGTGACCAGATGGATCATGTGGTTATGTTTGTTGTTGGAGGTGACCAGATGGATCATGTGGTTATGTTTGTTGTTGGAGGTGACCAGATGGATCATGTGGTTATGTTTGTTGTTGGAGGTGACCAGATGGATCATGTGGTTATGTTTGTTGTTGGAGGTGACCAGATGGATCATGTGGTTATGTTTGTTGTTAGAGGTGATGTTTGTTAATTGGAGGATGGATCATGTGGTTGTTTGTTGTTGGAGGTGACCAGATGGATCATGTGGTTATGTTTGTTGTTGGAGGTGACCAGATGGATCATGTGGTTATGTTTGTTGTTGGAGGTGACCAGATGGATCATGTGGTTATGTTTGTTGGAGGTGACCAGATGGATGGATCATGGGTTGTTTGTTGTTGGAGGTGACCAGATGGATCATGAGGTTTGTTTGTTGTTGGAGGTGACCAGATGGATCATGTGGTTGTTTGTTTGTTGGAGGTGACCAGATGGATCATGTGGTTATGTTTGTTGGAGGTGACCAGATGGATCATGTGGTTATGTTTGTTGGAGGTGACCAGATGGATCATGTGGTTATGTTTGTTGGAGGTGACCAGATGGATCATGTGGTTATGTTTGTTGGAGGTGACCAGATGGATCATGTGGTTATGTTTGTTTGTTGGAGGTGACCAGATGGATCATGTGGTTATGTTTGTTGTTGGAGGTGACCAGATGGATCATGTGGTTATGTTTGTTGTTGGAGGTGACCAGATGGATCATGTGGTTATGTTTGTTGTTGGAGGTGACCAGATGGATCATGTCGGGTTATTT